TCAACGCCATTCGAAAGAGTATCCGTTTATACCTCTTTTCAAATCGTTTATCTCGCGTATCTCAAAGGGAGTGGAAGTACTAAAGTAACCTTCCGACATATTTTGAAGATTCTGTACTTCCGGTTCCTCTGCTTATACTTGCTTGCTGGTTATTTTTTCCCCTCCCCTAATCGTTTTATTCTTCGAGGTACAAACAAAACAAAAAGTGGCACAAATAGGTACAAACGAAACGAACTACAATCGAATTGCATTGCGAATTTTCTTTTTTTTTTTTGATCAAGTTGTTTGCCAGATTCACACATCGGTCCTAGTAGAAAGATCAAAGTGTCCCGAGTGTTCATTATCAAAGTGTTCGTTATCCCATTTAACGCTTTAATTTAAGACTCCGAAGCCTACGTCAACCTATTTCAATTTTAATTAACACAGCCGAGAAGTTTTTTCGAGAACCCGCGAGTGGCAACTTTCCCGAGTTTCAGAAGCGCCGAGTGGAACTTTATAATTTCTATATAATTAAAATCTCCGCATTGGCCGCGCGGAGTCCACGTAAGCGTGGAGAACAGCTCGGGTCGCAAATCAGAGGAAAAATTTGGACTCGAGAGGATGCGACGACGATACCGGGAGCGTGCGATCGCTCAGCTTGCAAAAGCGGCAAGCTCGCGTGAAGGATAGCCGATATCGAAAAAGGCCACGTCGAAGCGCGACGATCGGGTTACGCGAGCGCCACCCCGTTTGAATTCTTCATTAATATCGAGCAAATATCGCATAGCCGCGCGATGCACAGCGTTATAATTTACCGGCAAACAAGCCCGCGATTTCGCTGGCACCGCACAGGCGCTCGTGTTCCTCCAGCCAGCTACGTAAAACTACCTAAATACCTGAATACCTAGCTACCTAGCGGGCACAACGGGAGAGGTAAGGCTTTGTTTAACGAGCAAAGAGTCGAGACACTGTACATTTTAATGACGTCAAACGATTTTTAATGCAGCTGAGAGCGGAGACGCCGCGTCGCGCGCTGTGCTCCAACGTTGCTGCGATATGTAAAATGAAAGCCTTTCATGCCGCGCGACGGCAGTGCCTTAACTCGCCTCAGTAAGTCTCAGTGTGTAGCTTAAACTCTCGCGCGATCCTCGTCTCGGTAGTGCCTCTTTGAGTCGCGCCGTTAACATCAACGGCAAAGCGCAAAACGCGCGGCGTTTCGCCGACTGGAAAAAACATCGCGTTCCGAGCGTTCCTCTTCACCGGTCACTTTGATCCGTTCCTTGATGCTTTCCGCGACTGCCCCGCCCGAGGAGTTCGATACCGACCTTTCTCGATTTCACGGAAATATCACGACGCTGGCAACCGTCTCCGCCAGGAAGACGCCCGCCGTTTCTGTCTCTCGCAACGGGTCCTGCTGACAGGACTCCTCGACGCCGACGACCTCGGATCGGACGTGCGATGATGGACTCCTTCGGCTAAAGGGAAAATTCCCAACGCGAAAAGCCGCAGAACTTTTTAATCAACGCCGAATTCACCTTCGCGGAGTTTCAGCTGCGCCCGCGCCGGTTAATTACTCAAGTTTTTCCCTCGTTTTCTTTTCCCTCGCCACAATAGCTCGAGCAAGAATAACCGACCGAATTTTTTCGCCGAGCCGGTTAGTTCCATGAAGGCTGAAAATTTTCAGCGGATGGCCACTTGCAGCGTCTCGAGGTGGGACGAGTGAGGCGTCGCATGACGGGTGAGATCCTGCATCCTTCGAGGTTAACGCGAGGTTAGCGCGAAGGCGAACGTTCTGCTGCTCATTCGGCTTCCGCCCGAAATATTTCCCGGAAGAATCTGCGAGACGCGCCTTGCCGCGATGCGAGCTGGCGGGCGTGTCTCCGGGAAGTTTCAATTACGCCGCGATGGAAGAGAAGAATAGAAGAAGAGTAGGAGAAGAAGGGATGCCAAGAGACGGGCTGTGCATTTACCCAGTCACATCTTCGCTTGTAAATAATTCACGCACGCATCTCGCGCATGTATTAATCCGCAGTGCCGAAACCCGCGAGAGAGCTCGTTTCGCTCGACTCGGAAAAGTCGAGCTTGTGCAAATCTCCGCGTGACCGGTCCATCAGATGATTCCCCGGAGCTTACGCTCTTTCCGGACGCAACTGTTTGGTCGGAGCGCAAGCAGAAGCATTTTCGGAGCAAAGGGACCGCGTGTTTTCCGTGTCCCGACACCGACAGTCTGCGAGTGTCTGTGAGTGAGTCGAAATTTTGGCTTTATCCTGTTCGACTTTTCATAGTTTTCCTGACGGTACTTCAAAGTACCGCTCTGTATAAGCGTTCATATGTCTCTGAACTTTCTTTCTGTGTCCTACCCTTAAATTCTAATCATTAAATTATTGCACAATTTATTCTTCTATTCCTTAGATTTATAATATAGTAAAATTTTAATTTAATTCTAATTGCACGGAAATTTAATAAGGTCTTAGGTAAGTTGATTCAGGAAATAAAGAGTTAACATCTGCGGACTCTGGAGGGCTCCATTTGTGTAGGAACTGAAGTTGTTCACTCAGCGCCTCCGAGCGGCAGAAAACTGCGCAGAAATTTGCGCAGCTCGTTGTGTGGGTTTTGAAGAAAAGTTCTCGGCAAAATAGCACTAAAGCGGTCACTTTAAAATGTTCGATCCTTTAATGGAATATTGAAGCATTTTGGCCCAATTCTCGACCTGAACTCTTCAACATCTATAGATTCTGGAGGAGCAAAATGGGATTGAAAATATAGAAAGTCGAGTTTTACTCGGCGACTCTAAACGGCGGAAAACGCGCAATCTACCACTTGCAACTTCGGTGAGAAGACTCTTCTCGCCGAAGTTGCAGGTTAAATGCAATCAAGAGAGCTTGATGCGGGCTTCATAGTTTTAATTTAGCTAAATGGAATATTTAGCGGTCGAAATTTTCGTTCACGTTGGAGTGTCCAACTGTCTAACTGTCTAACACCCCCAAATTCTGAAGGAACAATGGAGACCTGAGTGATACAGAAACTCAAGTTCTACACTCTCTCAGCGTCCCTAAATGGCGGGAAACACGCAATTTGCCACTCGCTAGAGTCGCAGGCTCCGCACACAGCCAAGAGACCTCGATGCAGGCTTGAGAATATGAAATTGGCGTTGCGTGAAATTTCGAGCTCGAAGCTGGTGGGAGAAAAATCGCGACTCGAGCGATTCGCGCGACCGCGAGCTCGTTTGAGCGCCAACTTGCACGGCGCGGCCTCACCACGGCGAGGAATTCCCTTAAATTACTTATAAACGAGTAACACACACACACACACACACACACACACTCACGCGAGCGTTGAATTCATCGGCCGACGTTTCCGAGCGGAATGCCTCGTAGACGCGCGATCTATTTTCGAGCGTACATCCCCCAGTTGATCGACGCCGGGACAGCGGCGTCGCGTGCGGTCGGCAAACGTATGTTCGTGCTCAGAATGTGACGCGCGACATAATTACTGCGGTTCGCTGAATTGCTAGAATATGACCGAGGAATTATCGCCGCGGATCGACGCGGAGCGCTCGCGCGCGATGGAGAGGATTGCACAAACAATCGCAGGCCGTCGTGAGCGAACGACGAATTGCTCCGCCGGAAGCGGCGTGTTTCTTCCGCTCGAATCGAATGCCAACATCGACGGTGAAAAGTCCCTTCGAAATGAAAATTTCGAAACTCGGGGCACAACTCGTCGGGAAAGCGCTTTAATCGAGTAGTTTCGTCATAAAATAATCCGCAGGAAAGAGAAACGTCGGCTTTAACTTTTGGGCCGTTCGCGAGTTCATTCGCCGATTATTTGTAATTCCGCTAGTTTGTTTCTCCCCTTTCGCGAGTTGTTTTGAAGTGCGAAAGATCAATCGCTGGGACAACTGAGAGAAACGCTGGTGACTTTGAAAATACTCGCCGGGTGCCAAAGGAAAGCGAGGGAACGTTCGGAGCTCAAAGGACCGCGACTTCGCGAGACATATTTCCGCCGATTATCCTCAATTCTCTCCTCCGCTACCTTGTCTCTCTCCCTCTCTGCAGGACCTTGAAGTGCGAAAAATCAATAACTGAGACAACTGGAAGAAATGCTCGAGACTTTGAAAACACTCGCCGAATGACAAAGAAAAGCGGGGGAGCTCGCAGGATCGTGGAACCGTGGAACAAATTCCCGTCGAGCACTCTCGGTTCTTCGCTGCTTCGTCTCTTTTCCCATTTTCCGATACCGACACGAGTCGAAATTTTGGACCCATTATCGATCTTTGCATCCATCAATTCTGAAGGACCAATGGAGATTTAATTTATATAGAAACTGAAGATCGCCGCTGCTGGTAGACAGATTATGTTAAATCCAATATTATAAGGGGGAATTACATGCGGAGCAGGTCGTTTTCAAGGCTATTTTTACGAATTTTTTTAACAGATCTTGTGATTCAATAAAATTTATTTTATACTTTGAACACTAATGAATGCACATACTGTGAAAATTTCAAATTCACCTACCGTTTCTGTTAGAAAAATTCGCCTTGAAATAGCCTTGAAAACGACCTGCTCCGCATATAATTTCCTCCTTAAGATAGAAAGTAGGATGAGCATTTTTCGATCGCAGACTTGAAGATGTAATTTATGCAGAAACCAAAGTGTCCCATTCGGTGCTTCGAAGTGACAACAAACACACAATCTGCCACTCGTAAATTCTCAATAGAAATCTTCGACGAAGCTGCAGATTGAGTGCGATCGAAAATGATTGACGCAAACTTCAGAGTGTAAAATTAGCTCTGAATCAAGTACCGAGGTCGAAGGCGGGATGTAAATCTCGATTCGGGTCTTGGAGGTTTCATTCATTCATACGGAAACCGAAGAGTCGCGCGGAAACATCGAGAGAGAGAGAGAGAGAGAGAGAGAGAGAAAAGAGAGAGAGATGGAGACAGCAACAACGGAGCGGCAGCAGCGGAGGCAGGGGGTGGGGGGGAGGGGGGCGGAACGAAATTCGATCATTCGACTACTCACTCTAGAAAGACCTCGGATTCGCTTCGGGGCAACACCAACCTCGGCAATACGATGGCCTTCTTGCGTCGGCTCTTGAGCGTCTGCGCGGCGAATTGGAACTCGGCCGACTGCACCGGCGAGTGCGGGCTCAAGATCGTGATCTTGCGATCGCTACCGCCCGGGCTGGTCAGAGAGAACACGTTGGACGGCGGCGGCAGGCTCAGGTGCTGCGGTATCTTCCTCTCGAGGCCGGTGTTGGCGAACAGGCCGCGCCTCACCTCGGCGTTCATGCTCTCCTCGCGGTGGAGGTTCTCGCTGCTCTTCGACTCGACCGTCACGATGCGCCGCATGTCCCTCGTCGACGACGTGAGGAAGCTGCGGTAATGGCCGCGGCTGGAGGCCATGTGTGTCTCCGACGACGACGACAACGACTCCATGGACTTGGAGTCCTCGCTGTAGCGCTCGTCGGCGCTGAGGAAGTTCCGCGACGAGCGCAGGCTCTCCATCGAGCGCGCGGTCACTTGGCCGCCCACGCTGGCTGTCAGCAGGTGTTGTTGCTGTTGCTGCTGCTGCTGCTGCTGCTGCTGCTGCTGCTGTAGCTGTTGCTGATGTTGATGTTGCTGGTGTATCTGCAGCCTGGAGATGCTCTTCACCTCGGGCTCATACTCCTCTTGGCTCGAGCTGGACTGCGGGCTGCGATTTGCCGTCATGAAGAAGCCCAGTCGCGGGCTCGAGTACCTCGAGTCGTCGTTCACGCGCAGCGACGACGACAACGTCGACATCGTCGCCGACATGGTCGTCTTCCTGCGCAGTAGCATGGACTCCACGTCGTCGGGCACGTCCAACGAGTAGCCGCTCCTTTCCGAGAGCTTCGCGCGCGTCCTTATCAGATGCGCGTCCTCGTCCTTCGGCAAGTTCTCCACTTCGTTCTCGGACGCGCACTCCATCGTGTCGGAGTCCTCCGCGGACTCTTGCGCTCGTAGGGTCAGCTTCCTGCTCTTGGAGATGAACCTCGACGAGCCGCTGCTGCAGATCCGCGCGCTGATCGCCGCCGCCGCCGCGCGCACGTCCTCCGCCTCGTCCTCGTCCATCTTCGCTTCGGCGGCTGCCCGCCGACTCACGCGAGCGGCTTCTCACACGGAATATCGCGGGGGAACCGCGCGGCCAGAAGAGGTGAGACAGTATCACGGCGACGAACGCGGCCGGAAGTCGTCAGAGAATCATTCAGAGGCGCGGCCGACCGTCTCGTCCTGTCTCGTCCTGTCGCGCGAAACAAAGCTTCCGGAACTCTCGCAGACGCTCTCGCGCACGCGATCCTCCTCCTCCTCCTTCTCTCTTCGTCGTCGACGTCGTCGTCAGACCGAGCCGCGCCGTTCCCGGCACTTTTTCTTTCTCGGCTGCATCACGAACGGGGCTCCACCTATCTAGCGATTTTGCCGCACGGCGGACGGCGAGCTGAAAATGAACGGCGTCTCTCAAGAGAGATTCCGGGACGGGGAGCGGGAGTGGGAGGGGAGACGACTTAATTACTCGGACAGCACTTGGAGCCACTTTGGGAGTTTCAAGTTTCAGGGGCGAAGCCCGCGAGCACGGCGAACGAGGGTGCCGAGGGATTCGCGCGGCGGGAAATTTCGCCGGGGCGTCGAGATGGATCGGGGGATGTTTTCGGGAGCGAAAGCGAACTCGTTCGAGAGAATTTCTGCCCGCTGCTAATCGAATCGAAACTATACGCACGCCTGAAATCCGATTATTTTTCGCGCTCCGTCGCCGGCGGCTGGCGAAATTCGCGCTGAAATCACGAAGCTCTGTTGAATTCGGAAATTTCATTTCCGCGTCGCCTTAAAATGCTGATCGTCCGAGCAGCGACCCCTTCGCAGGGGGAGGGGCGGCTCGCCGACACGACGTTGGATTCAATTACCCTGCCCCGGCCCCCGAGGTGAGATAAAAGGGAAAGAGGGAAATCAGCAGCGGCAGGTCCTCCGTCGAGAACGATCTAATTTCCAAGACGCGCGCTCGCATCATCGTCGCTCGAAGCGTCGCGAGCTCGCGTTTCAAACACTTCCGACGAAAGGCAGCAAATGTTTGCCCAAGGATAGTCGCGTCCGAAAAAAGTAGAGAGGCAGGAGAGAATAACGTCAGAGCGAATGCGAGACGAGCTCGGCAAATATTTTCGCTCGGAGCGCGCGGATCCTACCTTCCCGCCCGGAGGAGACTCGCGACTCCTCCATGGCAGAAATATGGAGCGCGAGGGGGGGGAGCATCGACCTTCTCGTAAACTTGATTATCGAGCCGAATGAGAGAGCTGCTCGCATGTCGTCGCGACATGCTTTCTTTCCATTCGCCACTCACAAATTGAAAAATTTTTGAAACCCCCTCCGCCTCCTCCTCCAATTTTGTAAAATCTGAATACACAGTAGCAAAGAGTATGAAAAACATTACAACTTTAATATAAACTATTTTTGCATACGTCTCGTATTTTAAAAGATATACGCGAAAAATGACTATCCTTGGTTTTCTTTCTCGAAAGGTGCCTTCACCCCCTCGGACTGAAATTCCGCACGAACGAAAAGTAGTTTTGCACTACGGATGAACTGCTTTACTTTCACACTTTCACACAGTTTCATAATTTTTTGAATTTACGAGTTCCCTATGTTTCCTTGTCAACCCTGTTCCTCCTCGCCTCCTGCGACTTCTTCGATGGTGATGAGCCTGTTAAAGTTTCCGAAATCGATTTCGGAGACTTTGATCCTAGTTATAAGGACCTTAAACAAACTAACCTAGATATTTCGTAATTGGTCGGCTGATCACATCCGATGTACTATTTCTGTTCACAAACTTGGTTCTAGCTTTCAATTTTGCAATATTAGATAGGGAAATAGATCTTTTGTCACTTATTATGTCGACAATTGATTAGCTGATCAATTTCGGAAATTATCTAAGTTAGCTTAAGGCCAACCTCTGACAACAAAAACCAAAATTCCCGAAATCCCGATTTCGGAACAGGCCTTGTGTCACATCTCGAAATGGGCTGGAAATTGCAAAATTGAGCAAATTCACTAGGTATCTCGATTGCGCAGGCTCTGGTAAATTCGATCTCACTTTTGTCATTCTCGCCTCGTTCCAAGGCACACAATCCCTCCCCCCTCCCTTCCTACACGGCCGTTCTCGCGATTGTGCTTGATTGACGACACTGTCTATCGCCGAATACGCGGGTTAAAGCAACAGCAGGTTAGGTTGGGTCAGGTGAGGTCGAGTCGGGTTAGGTTAGGTTCTTCTCTCTTCGGGACTCCCTCGGCGGCGCTTTGAGGTAGCGCGTGCAATTGGCGTGCGCCGGGGCAAACAAGAATTCGATGTGAGCCCGTAACAATAGCCGCCAGTGGAGACAATGCGGACAATGGTCGGCGGGTGGCGCAGGGGGTGGGGTGGGGGAGGAGAGAGCGATGGGGGCACAGTGCGCGGCGCGGTCTCGCTCGAATTCATCTCTCTTTAAGCTCAAAGTGCTGGCGTCCGGTATCGGTGAAATCGTACAGATGAGGAAACGGTACCGACGGTGTTTTAAGTGGCGGCGGTTATTGCGCACCCCCGATATATACACCCGCTGCACGAGAACGGTCTCTCTCTCTCTCTCTCTCTCTCTCTCTCTCTTTCCTTCTCTCTCGGAGACGGGAAACCAAACGGCCCGCCACCGGCGGGCATTTAAGTGCACAGCACACAAGGCTGCGTCGCGGGAGCTTGCCTTTTGTGCGCAAAAATTATCGCGCGAAGCACCGTCGTCGCTCCGCGTGAGCGGAGAGCGATCCTTGTCGTCGCTGCGATTCCGCTGGTCGAGGACAAGGGGTTGTGACCTTTATGTCGGAGAGGAGTGCTCTCTGGTCCTCGTGATTCAGCCGGGGCTGACTCGCGCGATGGGACGCGGCGGGCTCGCCGCGCGTCGCGCATTGTCGCCGCGATTGGCCGGGGTAGTTCGCGATATTGAGGAGCGCGCGTCGATTGATGATATTGTTGTGTCAGGGCCAGAAGGTTTGTGACAGCGTCCATTGTTCGCGAGCCTTAGGCAATTTGATGTTGATTTTGACAACTGAAGGAAGATTGTCCGGACGACGGAGAAGACGATAAGAAGAGAACAATAACAGCTGAGAGGAGGAGCGAGTGTATGAGTGAGCGCGACAGTATGTACGCGTCTTTGAACCATCTCGAGCTGGGAAGAGGCGAAGAGGTGACATCTCGGCTGTAATCGAGCCGAGTCAGGCCGAGTCAGCGTGCGGATTAATTCGCACGACGCGTTTATCCGCTCGGACAATTCGGCTCGATAATGAGCGACATTCCGCTCGACTTCGTCGTCGTAACGTGCCGCTTCAGTCGGAAATTGAGAGCTTCAAGAGAAGTTCCCTTCGGGAGGGAAGCTTTTCGAAGGGGGAAATTCCTCTCGGAAGTTTTTGCGAAGAGGACAGGTGTCTTTTGAAATGAGAGGTTTCTCCGCGGGGAGAGAAATTTTTGAGAGAAGGCATTTCTTTCGGGAGGAAAAAGAGATTTCTCGCCGGGAAGAAGTTCTTCGGAAGAGAGAAGAGTTGCCTTTAAGAGGAGAAATTTCCGAAAGAAGGCGCTCTCTCTCTCTCTCTCTCTCTCTCTTTCGAAATGAGAAGTTTTGAGAACGAGGTCTCGTTTGACACGAGAAGTCTTTGAGAGAGAAGTTTCGTCACACAATTTCGCGGTTACACGGCGACGCTATAAAGGCAATCGCTATCCGGCAAAGTGTCCACACGTGCTGGAACTGGAAGTTTCGAGAATGCGCGACTCATCCGGCGGAATAAAATGGCGAATTCCAAGTGAGCGAGACTGCACAAGTAGAATTACGAATGATAAGAATGATGATTATAGGAACATCGCGCACGACTGTTGGCCGTCCATCTCACACGACTCACACGACCGTTTCCTCATTTCACCCGAGGTCACTCCGGGACGCATCGAAATGAGTTTTTCAGCGGGATACTTTTATCACGCCGCTCTCGGCCGGCTGATCGGCTCGAAGCGCGATCGGACGAACCCCGCAGCTTTGCGGTCGACACCTTTCGCGAGGATGCGCGAAGTACGACACAGCTGCGAAACTGTTTACCGACTCGTCTGTCTGTCTATATCTGAAACGGGGCTCTGCTACACCGTGTCGTTTCTGGCGGAAATAGTCGGCAGGGAACGCCGCCAAATATTTGCGAAACTCCGCTGGTCGCCTAATATCGAAGTTCGGCGCGCTGAAACGGCCGACTCGAGCCGACGGCGACGAGATTCCCGTGTTTGATAATCCCGACGCCGAAACACTTCCGCCGCGCGCGCGAGTCGCGCTACCGCAAGTAAAGCACACACTCGCTCTTGTCGCGATTAATAATTTACTCGCCGCGGTTATACGGGCGTCCGTCCCGCGAGACACCGAACACGCTCGACGGTACGCTCGCTACTTCTGTTGTGTAGTTTGCCTCTCCGAAGGGAATTACTTCCCACATAGGCTTCGTGAAATAATGATATTAATTTCGAGGCTGGCTTTCCGATCCGCCGATCACACTCCGGGGTGATCCCGCCGCGCTACACGACGCGGTGCTTCCTCCGTGAAGTCATTCCTCGCGTGCTTGCGCGGTAATGCGATAAATTTCTGATACATTCCTCACTTGATTTGTTCCTCGACTGGCTTCTCGGCTTTGCGAGACTTCGCTCGTCACCGCGTGATGCAACGTGCGCCGATGCACTTGTCTTCTCGCAACTCTTCAGTAACTATGCTGACTCGGCAAAACTCTACTTTGTCGCGCAGTACTCGCCGTTGAAAGCGCGTAATGGATAATAACAGCGCCGTCGACATTTGCATATCGTCGTAGCTGCGCTAATGTGACGTATAATAGCTGGCGAATTAAGGAAATGTGAAAATACAAAGATAAAGGACGGCGAGAGGCGACCCGATGAGAAATTGGTTTACATATCTGCGTGTGTAAAATATATTCTTAATAAATGTAAGCTAGATCCCAGACCGATTGGCTCTTCACCGCTCTTCACCCCTTTGCTTTCTCACTTTTCCATTTCAATCAAAGAGCGACTGCAGTTTTCCCTTTGACATGGTACGTATATCCGTATTTCGAGTCGGAGCGAACAAACCACACAGCAACAACATCCACTGAGACTCGATGCAAGCTTCAACGGACGGGCGACGTCTCGCCCGGAGATGCGCGAGTCGAGAATTTTCCATGTCGAGTCGAAGCGACGAAATTCCATGTGAATCGAGCCGAGAAACGAGTCGAGTGTGTGTGTCAAATTCAATTCTTAATGAACAATTGATAACGTGGCCTGTGGGAGTCGACAATCGTTGCGAGTAATTTTCAACTACGGGAGAATAAACAAATGCGTGACAAGCAAAGCAACTTCCCACGTCAAACTATTCTCTCTGAATTATTTTTTTTATTTT